CTCTCTCTCTCTCTCTGTGTGTGTGTGTGTGTGTGTGTGTGTGTATGTGTCTGTGTGTGTTTATAACTGTGTGTGTGTGTGTGTGTGTGTGTGTGTCAGTCAGCTGCAGCGCCACAGTGTTTATTGATGTTTTGATAGATAATATTTAGACCATAACATCAGTCATTCTCGTGGTGTTGTTATAATGTGTGTTAGTAGTGTCTGTCAGAAGTGCGGGCGTGGCAGCAGGACTCGTGACACACAAACACGGTAGAAGCGATGAATAGATCAGACTTCTCCTTTTATGTATACAATTTCATCCAATTTTTTTCTGCTAGCAGTGTGCATGTTTTGCTGGATGTCTAATCTGTCTTTCCTTCCCTCAGTGTGCTGAATCACTCACAAGAACCAGCGCTGCTCTGGCAAGCACCGCAAACAAGAGAGAGCGTGTCAAGATCCTTCACAAGAAAAGTGAGAGCCTCCCAGTTCACATTTGTAATCAAAATGCTGTTTTAATATGTTGCATCATCATTTTTTGTCGATGTATGTTTTCTATCAGTTGAAGATTTGCTGAAGTATTTGGACCCCCAGTTCACAGACTTCATTGCTGTGCCGGATGCAATGAAATTAGAGTTTATTCTAGCAGGTTAGTGCTCTGATTCTCACGTGTATAAGGGATTCAGGAACCTGTATTTGTCACCAACCATGCTTATCCTCATGGCAGGTGAATCTGTATTAAGTGTAGTCTGAAATCTGTGTTCTTTACCTCCTGTAGTTTTGTAAGGAGGAACGCATGTCACACAGATGATTTGACTTGCTTCTACCAAATAACAGAGGAATTTGCACTGAAATACTGTAGGGAGCACAGCTAGTGCTGGGCGGTATGACCAAAAATTTATATCACGGTATTTTTCAAAATGATACAGGTTTCATGGTACATGACGGTATTTTTTTTTCCGTGCATGACCGGGTGTTAACCATATTTTCTACAGACTGAGAGAGGAAATACTGCAGTATATTTTACTGTCAAACAATCCGTAAGTGTCAGGTGCTAGGAAACGCTGTTTTGTTCTCATTTATTGAGGAGTCGGCTGCGGTGCTTCTCTGCCGCTCACTGCACAGAACACACGCCGAGAGGCGACACTTCTCCGGGAAAGCCAGACCTCGTGTTCGCGGGACAGCACTGGAGAAATCCTCCAACTGAACCATAGCTAAGCTTTATCCAAAAAAGTGGCTAGGTTTGTCAGTATGAATATTCTCTGGGAAAAAAGCCGCTAAAAGGGTCTGAAAGTTGCTAAATCTAGTGCTAAAGTCACGCTCGTGTGTGAGAGACGCGGGAGCTGATGGCAGGGGCGGTGTATATTTGTGGAGGTCAGTGTGGATATTGTGGATGAGTTCTTCTGTGTCATCACGTTCTATTAGTTCTACAGCTTCAGTTTCTGAACTTTCACGCTTAGTAACACATACAGCTGTTCTCTCACCACAGTGCAGCAGTGAAAAGGGACCCCTTTCAAACAGTGTCGCGTTCCCAACGTTGTTTAAGCGACATACACCGGTATTGCGGTATTTTAAAAATTCATATCATAACAAAAATAAACACCGGTATTCGGTATGAACCGGTATACCACCCAGCACTACGCACAGCCCATGTCAAAAGATATGAGAAGTGTTTTGTCAAGAAGAAAAGTCAGAATTGTGAGATATAAATGCAGAAAAGAAAATAAACGCAAAAAAAGTCAGAAGTTTTCATCTTGCAATTCTGACTTTTTGTTCAGCCAAGAAAAAAAATATAAAGGTAATTGTGACCTTTTATCTCACAATTCTGACTTTTCCCCTCACATTTACACGTTTATATCTCACAATTCAGATGTTTCTTTCAGAATTATGAGAAGTACGTCACGCAATTCACTTTTTTTTCTCAGAATTCTGTGTTTATATCTTGCAATTCGGACATTTTTTTTCTTAGAACTGCGAGAAAAGAAAAGTTAAAAGATCAGAATTGTGAGATTAAAAGTTGCAATTATACCTATTTTTTTATTCCATTGTGGAAACAAGCTCCCACTGGAGAGAACTTGTGAGTTGTGGCGCACCAGTTGAGAACCACTAAAACATATAATGTTAATGAATGGGCCGATCGAAGCAGTCTGAACAGTGCATAAGCTCCTCATTCTTTATCTACAGAGGAAGAGTTTTTGCGTTCTCAGGCCACATTATTGGAGCAGGTGCACAATCTGCAGCCTCTTCTGGACAGCAACCACATTAAAGGTCAAACACTGACTGTTGCTATACTAGTCAAATATGAAAGCACCTTTTTCTTTCAGTGTGACCGAGGCCATTTTTAACAACGCTGTGTGTTCTTTTGGTATCACAGCGGTTCCAGAGCTGACCACAAAAGTGCAGCGGTTGTCACAAGTCCACATTAAACAACAGGTAACAACACATTTAACTTGTTTTGTTTTTTACCTCCATGCAGGTGGAGTAGTTTTTTTTTGTTTTTTAAGTATATGTGACCCTGGAGCACAAAAGCAGTGTTAAGTCGCTGGGGGATATTTGTAGCAATATCCAACAATACATTGTATGGATCAAAATTATAAAAGTTTCTTTTATGCCAAAAATCTTTAGGATATTAAGTAAAGATCATGTTCCATGAAGATATTTTGTAAATGTCCTACCATAAATATATCAAAACTTAATGTTTGATTAGTAATATGCATTGCTAAGAACTTCATTTGAACAACTTTAAAGATGATTTTCTCAATATTTCGATTGTTTTGCACCCTCAGATTCCAGATTTACAAATAGTTGTATCTCGACCAAATATTGTCCGATCCTAACAAACCACACATCAATGGAAAGCTGATTTATACATCTCAATTTTGAGAAATTGACCCGTATGACTGGTTTTGCGCTCCAGGGTCACATATATTAGCATCCATCACTAAATGAGACCATGTTGTGAAACATGCTGATTCACATTCCTATGTATAATAAATTATGCAGGACCAGAATGAAGGATTATCTGCTGAAGTGAAGAGGCTGTTTGAAGAATACAACAAAATGGTATCCTTAGTTGCGGTGAAAGACTCCTCTATTTAATTATTGTACAGAAGTCCCTGCAGCTAAAAACAGCACACAGTAAGCTCATTCTTGAACATCTGAATTCTTTCGCATGAGTGCCTTACTGTCCTTAACTTCCTCCACAGATGTTTCTCTTATCAAAGCAGTTTTCTCAGTGGGATGAAACTCTGCGGAAGCTGGAAGCACCCAAGCAAGGCCAGCAGATAGACTAGGATGCTAATACTTCGATTGATGGCTTGTTGTAAAATCTTGCATTTTTCACAATTCATCACATAATGATATGATTAATAAAACAGCACTGTCATTCCTAAACATACCTTGTTATAAATAAGTGTTGTTTAAGGTCTTTGACCTCCCCTTAATCTAAATCTTGAGTCATTATGTACAAATATGGTAATCTTATGGTGTTATAAATGATTATATGCTCATTACATTTGTGTTTACAGAAACATTTCTTTGCTTGGAAAATGTATTCCAACCATTATCCTCTAATTAAACTCGTTTTGCTCTTTAATTTATTTATTGCACTATTCCAGCGATTGTGTATGAGGGTGGTTTCTTAACGCCTTTAGAAAAGTTTCGCTATCTGCAATAACCATAAATAAAAGGAAGTGCCGCTGTAGTATTTATGTTGCATTTGTCCTTTTTTAAATACAAAAATACATCTAGTGTTTATCTTTTTATGGGTGACTGAATAACACAACCACACCTTCTTTACCACACCGTCTTACAGGAGATATTAATGCATTCTTGCTAATTGAACGAAACAAGTAAATGAACAATGGTGTAATGTATTGAACTTTTAACACTAGATTTAGTAAGTCATTCTATCAATAATTGAGTTTTCCACGAAATATAGCCGAGTAATCACTTCTGACTTTAGCACGGTTTTCACTCTGCTTTTTTAGAGGAGTCTTGTTATTGCTTATAAAGCTTATAAAGCTGATTATAAAGTAAACAGTACAAATGAAAGACATCTGTGAAAGTCCACGTCATTACGAACAAAGTTGAATTTGCAGTGATGTGCATAGGCTTGCACAAAAATATGTAACTTCTCAATTTATGGACCGCTGCTTTTTCTAGAGAAAATCTGGGTGGTGCTTTAAACAACTTGCATTTATTAACAACATAAATTGTAATTTGCATTGAGCTAAATGGATCTTTTTTTTGTGATCGTGTTGCAGAAATGTATTTATTTTAAAGACTACCAAAATTGTTTTTATCATGAACAACTTAAATTTTTTCAAACCAATTTTAATGGTAAACAAAACGTTATTTTTGGTCAATGTTTAAAAAGTAAATTTATACAAAAAGCTCATTTTAACTTAATTTATGCATGTGTATAATAATAATATAAGACATGCTTTATATCAGGGCTTTATATAGTTCATGTGAAGATTGTTTTAAGTTCACTTAAATTAAAAGTTATATTTTTTTCAGAGCTTACTAAATGTAAAAAATATACTGTAATGTTGAATGGCTAAAATTGAGATGAAAATGCAATCAGTAGCAGTATTAGTATCAAAAACACTGGCCTTTGTTAATAATAGGCTACTTAGTAAAGAGATGCCATTAAACATCTTTAAAATATGGGTAGCTTCTAACTACATTCATTTGGAGGTTCAATGTGAAATTATGACAATATATTAATATGCAATTAATTACAGAAAAATGGGATTAATTAGTGCATTTTTTAATCGACTAATGAAACTAATTGAATAGCCCTGCTTTATATTTTCCACATCTCATTATATAATTATATCATTAATATCAATTCCACATGCTTGCATGTAGTTTATGTTTCTATATTGCCTATCAATTCTACACATCTTTACATCTATATCAGAAAATGCTCTAGTTCATATTTACAGCATGAGTGAAAGTATGAGGCAGCAGCCCCGCCCCTCCGGAGCGAACTGGTCACGTGGAATACAAACGGGCCAATAGGAACGCGCGTTTCGGGGGACGTCGCGAATTTTGAAACGCTTGCTGAACAAAACATTGGATAAATCCTAGCGTCAAAATTACCTCCTTTCTCCGTCTCAGTGTAAGTATACTGCTTTAAGATACTCTTATATCGGTCCAAAATGCGAACAGTGCGATTTAGTGCGTCAAGATGTTGATTGTCAGTAACTAAATCGATAATACACGATTATTAACGAGATATGTTCTGTTGTAGCCGGATAGCTAGTTGCTAGTTTAGCTCTTAGGCTAATAAACACAGCAAGTTAAAAATAATTCTGTCAAATAATGCATTTGATGAGAGTTAAGATCTAGTTAGTAGAATAAAGAGCTGAAAGGGCCCCAGACATGGATAACGCACTTTACTGTGTAACTTAATATCATCTTTGAATGCTGTTTTGCCCTTAAAGAGACCCAACATTGATAAGTTATTTAGGTTTGTGCAGTTTGAATACTTTAAGATCTATTAAACATTAAGGACCTGTTTGGAATGACTGAAGTATGGTGTCGTCTTCCTGAAGATGTCAGTGCAGTGCAGTAAGTGTTGTGTTGTTTAGTGTGCAGAGATGGATGAAGAGGAGAGCACGGAGAGACAGATGCAGATCGCCATGCTGTGTCAGCGGCTGGCCAAGATGAAGAAGTTATACAACGATGGTAAGAACTTCCAGATTTGGGTCATCATTTTGCCCACACTTTAAAGGGGAAAACGAAGCGTTTGAGAGAGGCGGGGCATAGAGGACCTACAATAATGTACAGTATTTGAAAAATAATGTGTGTTTTGAACATTAAAGCATGTCAACATATTCTGTTACACTAAATACACAAAATAATGATCTTTAAAATAGCATCATATGACCCCTTTAAAACATGGATATATTTGGGAATTCTAGGTCTGGGAATGTTGTGGAAATGAATACAATTTCATTGTAGTTGAGAAGTCATGAACGTTCCTGTAATTCCAATATAAATGTTTGTAAATATGCCCGGCTCGGAAATATTTCTTCTTTCAGAAAGCGGTCTCTGAAATGTTTAGTAATGATTCTGATCCGATAATCACGAAAGAATGTAAAGGTCAAGGAAATGAATTAGCCAAAACAAGAATCCTGGGTGTTAGGCAAGCAGAGCAGAACAGTATCGGCTTTTCTTCCGTACAGATGATACAGATTACATCAATCAGGCCATCAGCTCAAACTCACCCGACACCTGCCGGACGCTTCTGACCAATCTGGAGAGGAAAGGCAATCCTCAAACGGATCCCAGCCTGCTCACTAAACTCATCGACTGCTACACGCGTGTCTTTTCCAGCATGCCGTTGGGCAAGTACAGTCAGATAGAGAGCTACGCCAAGATGCTGGTCAGATTTGCAGAGTTGAAAACGTAAGTCATCTCCTGTTTCACTGGGATTTGCAATTCTAATTTCATTATTATGGATGTTCTGTACATGATGATCTGTTTCATTCAGGAATAGTTCACCCAGATATGTAACTTGTCATTATTTACACTCTTATTTTGTTCCCGTTCTGTAAGAATTTCTTTGTGGAACACAAAAAGAGAATATTTAACAGAACTTTTTTACATTAGGAAATATTCTTGAGAAAATAAAGACAGATTTTTAGTTACAAAACAATTTTTTGTTTTAAATCAACAGATCTGTTTTAAACTGCCAAATATTTTAGTGCATTTTTTAAATTGAGTCTCTCTTTGTCAACAGCATCCAAGATGTAAATGATGCACAGGCTAGTTTTGACATAGCGAGATCGCACTGTAAGGATTTTGCCTTTGTTCACATTGCTTATGCTCAGTTTGAGCTTTTGCAAGGTAAGGAAACTTAAAAATATCAATAAAAATCTGTAAGCTTCTGCCTCTGTCAGAAATGAATCGCTAATTGAGAACATGGCCATTAAGTTGCTTTCATTCTCTCCAGGCAACTTTAAGAAATGCACTTTGATTCTTCAGAAGGCTTTTGAAATGAATGCTAAACCCAGGCGCGTTCTGGAGGCTGCCGTGAGGAATCTAAACGCAGGCAAACGCCAGCTCCTCTCGCATGAAGATAAGGAGAACATTTCAGGTTAGTTCACATCATGGCGACTACTTTTTACTATGCTTTTGTATGGAAGCCTGTTATAGAATAAAAAAATAAACATAAATAATTAAATAAAAAAAGGAAATTGCGGCTTTATCTCACAATTGGCAATACTGAGAAAAAAACCCAGAATTGCAAGATATAAACTAGCACCTGTGATTAAAAAAATGTCAAATGTGAGATCAAATGTTGCAAAATTTTAGAAAAGGAGGAGGAGGGGGGGGGGATTCCCCTTTAGGTGGCTGTTATTGGGGGAATTCTTTCTTTATTTGAGCGGGGAGTTAGGGTATTTTTTTTTGACATTTTTAAAGTACAATCATCCAACCTAAATGTTTCGTCACCCAGTGTGTTTGTGTTTTACAATTTATGATGTTGTTGATTCATATTTATATTGTGAGGAAGATACTTTAAGAACTTTGATTTCAAACTCTGAATTTAATTTATTTTAACTAAAAAAAGAAAAGTAAACGGTGAGTAATAAAAAAATAATCGATAAAAAGAGAAAGGAAAAATTTAAATCGCATCATATGACCCCTTTAATGACAGACAGCAGCAGGTTTATTTAGGTTGCGGTCTCTTTAAGACCTCACGCACGGCTCTAACTGTTACACAAAAGTTTTGTTTCTCAACTGTTTACATTCACTTAATAGCCTACATACCGTCAATGAGTATAAATCGACTCTTTACGTGAATACTCAAGACTGGCATTTTGACATAATTTTGTATGTATTTGGCCGTTTACGCATAATAAGGCTCAACACAACTTCATTCTGTAGTCGTGCGCTGTCAGATGCGGCTCTATGTGTGTGCGTTTTGGCTGTGAGCTCACAGAAAGGGGTCTCACAGAGACCGCGCAAGTGCTGAATTGAGCACTTGAATGTTTAAAATTGTAAGACTCAAAAGCACGTGCAAATGATACATTAATTTGATGCAATCCCACGCTGAAATTCAAGCCCTGATAAACGAAAATTATTTAAAGAAACAATGTGATGGTTTGCTGTAAGCATTTTGTTACATTTGATTAAAATCCTGTAATGTATACTTTTGCTTTCTATAAATCAAGCATGCATTTTAAATGCCTTGTGAAATATCTCTAGTGTCTGCACATGACGATGCACACGAGTCTGTGAGAAGCAGCTCCAGAAGATCAGACGGAACATGTGACCTGCAGACCAGCAGCACTTTTCACCAGGGGTATGAAAACTTCTGTTCTTTCATAGGAAATTCATGAGAATTTTGCAGGCCATATCGAATCAAGCAACATATTGAATATTATTAAAAGGCTAAGAATAACCACATTTAGTAAAAATAAAAAATAAAAACACATGATGATACCACATATTGTTAAAAAATTTTGTTCGAAAGTTTAGGGTCAGGAAGTTGTTTTTATTTATTAATTTAATTTTTATTCAGCAAGGATGCATTAAATTGATTGAGTGCCAGTAAAGACATTTATAATATTACAAAAGATTTCTATTAAAAAAAAAAAATGCTGCTATTTTAAACTTTCTATACACCAAAGAATCCTGAAAAATACAATGTATTGCAGTTTCCACAAAAATATTGTGCAGCATAACTTTTCAACATTGATAATAATCAGAAATGTTTCTTGAGCAGCAAATCAGCATATTATACTGATTTCTGAAGATCATGTGAGTAATGATGCTGAAAATTCAGCTTTGATCACAGCAACCAATTACATTTTAACAGATATTCACATAGCAGTTATTTTAAACTTTAATAATATTTCACAATATTATTGTTTTTGATCAAATAAACCCAGGCTTGGTGAGCAGAAGAGACATTAAAAAAAACTTTCTGACCCCAAACATTTAAAACACTTCATTTATTTATGTACCTAATGCACAATACTTACAGCCTGTTTTTGGTAAGGAATAGGTATTTGTCATGACAGAAATTTTTACCATGAAAGAATTGATGTTCACAAACAATCTGCATTCCAGGAGGGATCAGAAGTTCAGTCCACAAGATGAGAACATGCCTGTGTGGAGAGCAGGGTCACAACAAAGAAGAAGAATAGCCATGGTAAGGTGTGACAAGAGGTCAGGCCGTCGGCAAACAGCACTTGAAAGTGGAAATGCATATACTTACCTTCCTTCTTTCCTATATGTTCCTTCCTGTAGGCAGAAAGAGTTCCCATGGTGCCTCTCTCTATCCCTGAAAACGAGAGCAGTGATTCTGACGGTGCTCAGAAACCAGAAGCTCCTGCTGCACACGGCGGTGCTTTCTCCAGGTGAGAGATGTGAATCTGTGCAGGGGTGGCGATATGACCACAAAAAGATATCGGTCATTTAATTACTGTGATCCAGTGAATTAAGTACACCAGGGATGTAATTGTTCCCTTTTTTTTATGGATTTCCATATTTTCCTGCAAGAAGCATGACCCACGTGAATTGCGTAAATGCAAGAGAAAAAATGGCTAGGTTTACAAATACATTTAAAATGTGTATTTTACAAGTACAATTGTATTTCACACTACAATAGTATTATTGCACCAGTAAATCTTTGTTTAATTTGTATAATTTAAATAAAAACAAATTTAATCATTAATTAAATAACAATAATAGCACTTTCCACTCAGTGGCGAATATGTTATAGTTGATATGCACACACATATTGTGCAGGACATGCTTTCAGATGTAAAAAGCCCCCAATGAGAGTGATGCCAACTACTACTGTACTGTCACTACTACCCTATAAATGCTTTAGCAAAATCTCTTCACATTTGTGACCCTGGACCACAAAACCAGTCTTAAGTGTCAGTTTTTCAAAATTGAGATTTGTACATCATCTGAAAGCTGAATAAGCTTTCCATTGATGTATGGTTTGTTAGGATAGGACAATATTTGTCTGATACACACCTATCTGGAATCTGAGGGTGCAAAACAATCAAAATATTGAGAAAATCATCTTTAAAGTTGTCCAAATGAAGTTCTTAGCAATGCATATTACTAATCAAAAATGAAGTTTTGATATATTTACGGTAGGAAATTTACAAAATATCTTCATGGAACATGATCTTTACTTAATATCCTAATGATTTTTGGCATAAAAGAGAAATGTATAATTGTGACCCATACAATGTATTGTTGGCTATTGCTACAAATATCCCCCAGCGACTTAACACTGCTTTTGTGCTCCAGGGTCACATATGTCATCACTGGTGTGTAGCGCATCTACTGTAAAAGTGTTAAACTCTCTCTTTTTATAGTCACACTGTTTAAAATTTCCTTGATCTTTATCAAGCTTTAATGTTTGATTTTCTCCAGGCAAACAAGTGGTTCAAATGTCCGCTCCACATTCCCAATGTGTTCCTCAAAGAAAGGCACTCCAGACGGGGACTCCTACAGTCTATTAAACCTGAAGGTACAAGAGTCTTCCTTAAAATAGACTTAAACTCACCAGTGCTGAGAGTTAGTTAGAGAGAAAGTAAACATCTATACAATCCTGAATAGTGTCGTTCTGTTCTGTGCAGCCTCCCGTGATCAGTCCAGATCATCTGAGGGGAAACACTGAAGAGGGCGACACCATCACAGCACTCCTACAAAGAGCAGAAAGAAAAGAAACGGCTAGAATGGAAGGTAGTTCTTAACTAATTGACCCAGAATACTTTGGTTTTAGTCTGCTTCTATCACACGATGGTGGCTTTGCTCAAGCAACTTTTTGTTGCAGTGCACTCTTTTCTGATAGATTTATGTCTTCCTTCTTTCACAGAAACCACTGACATCAACCAGCTCATCAGCACAAACTCTCCTGAAAGTTGTCAGATCTTCCTGAAAAACCTGCAGAAGAGAGGAGACCCTGGTTCAGACCCGGCGTTTCTTTCCAAACTCCTGGACTGCTACTCTAAAGTGTTTGCCAGGTTTCCTTTGGCAAAGCATTGCAAAACGGAAAGCTATGCTCGAATGCTAGTGAGATATGCAGAGCTGAAAGGGTGAGTCAGTGGTGGATTGCACTAAGTCTCATGTCAGCAGCTGATACTTTGAGTAATTTATTCTTGGCCACCTCTACAGGATTGAAGATCCAGAAGACGCTCCGGATCATTTCAGTATTGCCAGATCGCACTGCAAAGCTTTTGCTTTTGTGCATATCGCCCATGCTCAGTTTGAGCTCTCGCAAGGTAAAACATGACATTTGTTGGTTTAGTAAGAATATGGTACTTTAAAGACCCCATGCAATTAAAAATGCACTACTTTTTGTCCATTTTCATTAGCTTTGTATGCAAGTGTATGCCTAGAATAATCACTTTCTGCAGGTACATGCTAAATTTAGCATCAGAGAAGAAGATGGACCAAATATATTGATTACTTCTATTGCATTTATGGGTGTTTTTACATTGGGAAGTAGGATCTTTCGAGATGCGTGGATGAAAACTGGATCATTTCTTTGGGTCTTTTTAAGAGTAAAGGTGCACGGTATTGCAGTATGTTTAAAGCCAGTGTTCTTGAAATCTCTCAGGTAACTCGAGGAAGAGTAATTTGATTCTGCAGAAAGCGCTGAGCTCAAACGCACGGCCGGTTGAACTGCTGCAGACCGCCACCAGAAATCTCAACTCTGGTAAAACTCATCTGCTTCCGGCTGAGCACGAAGAGAACGCTGCAGGTTAGTCTCATTCTTTTCTGTTAAAGGAGACCTTTTTTCCCCTCTGAGGTGCGCTTTAGAGCTTTGTCTGTATTTTGTTTTTGCTGCAGTTTTCAGTGTAATCGCTCTCGCTAGAGATCTGTCTGTCTCTGATCTACAGTCCACTGCAGTCGAGTGGTCCGTTTGTTTGAGGTGGACTTCAGTGTTGTTCACACGAGACATTGTTCTGCCATTAGGGGTCCAAGCATCAGAGATTTACATAGAAATCTATGAGCTCCAAAATACTTAAAGATAATTTTTACATTGAAAATTAAGACTGAATGCATTGCTGTCGAGTTAAAATGTGTATTTCATATAATGCATAGATTAATACTTCCACAACTTTGATAATTCACTGAAATCATATTATATTGTTATAATATGGCCATTGTGTTACCATATCGTCTACATGAGCCATTGGTGCTCGTACCCTGGTAATCACCGTTAACGGCTACATTTAATAATTCATTAGTATAATTATTTAAAAAAATTATATATTTAGTCTATACTGACATCTTTGGTCCCTGCATCATATTTTCAGTATCTTACAGCAGATTATTATTTTTTTTTTATTGAAACATCTTTGTTTTCACACTTTTGTCTCCAATCCAATGGGATTTATTATATAAATTTCCTACCGTAAATATATCAACACTTAATGTTTGATTAGTAATATGCATTGCTAAGAACTTCATTTGGACAACTTTAAAGATGATTTTCTCAATATTTAGATTTTTTTGCACCCTCAGATTCCAGATTTTCAAATAGTTGTATCTCAGCCAAATATTGTCCTCCTATCCTAACAAACCATACATCAATGGAAAGCTTATTTATTCAGCTTTCAGATTATATATACATCTCAATTTTTAAAAAATGGACTCTTATGACTGGTTTTGTGCTCCAGGGTCACAAATGTGACGATTCAGATTATTTTTTTTTTCTTCCACAAAGCAGAGTTATTATTGTTTCATTAAAAATATCCATGAACTGAAAGAAAATTAAATATTAAAATCAAACATTTATTTCAGCTTGTTGCCAAGGTATCATTTAATTTAATTTAACTTGAAGTACAAAAAAATTGAATAAACAAACTTAAAAATATAAAATGCAGCAAAATGACTAAAACTTCAACTACAATAAAAAAAAAGAAAAGAATTTAAAACCTTATTCAAAATATTAACGAAAACTATAGTAGTGTATCAATGATACTAAAACAACACTTAAAGTCTTAAAGTCAGTGTGGCATGACTTGAGTAAATGGTAATTACATTTCTTGATGAGCTGTTCCTTTAAGAGACCTCCATAAAGTCAGCTTTATTTTTGTTGGGGATTTTATTGCATCCAAACCTGGACTTTCTTGATTTTAATTTTGAAGGAAACCGATAATTCAGTTAAAAACAATGCAGGGTGAGACCTATGGCAAGCCATTTTAACATTTATTAATTTGCAGAATATGAAGATGTAGATATCTACAGATCAGTTTTTTTTTTAGTTAAAATGAAAATCCTTACAGTTTACTAGTGGCTTCATTTCTGCCTCGTTTTCTGTGAAATATTGAATACATTTAACAATCTGCCATCTTTGACCCCCAGACCCCCGTCTCCGCTTTCTCAAACGAGTCCATCACAATCAAGGGCAAACAGTTCTTCATTTTCAAGATGATCGGCCGCGGCGGGTCCAGTAAGGTACGAAAGTAATGATGCATGACTGTATTCTCGGTGTGATTTTTCATTTATATCTGATCCACTGTGTGTAACAGAAATAATTGTTTGTTTTCAGGTGTATCAGGTGTTTGACCATAAGAAGCACGTGTATGCTTTGAAGTATGTGAATCTAGAGGAGGCCGACGCTCAGGCTGTGGAAAGCTACAAGAATGAGATCGAGCACTTGAATCATCTTCAACAGTACAGCGATCAGATCATTAAACTCTATGACTAGTAAGTGTGCTGTGCTTGGAAACCATGCCCTAGCTGTTCTAGTGTGCTCCTGATCACATGACCTCCTGTTGGCTCGCAGTGAGATCACCAGCAGCTGCATCTACATGCTGATGGAGTGCGGTCACCTGGATCTCAACACCTGGCTGCGCAACCGCAAGTCCGTCAACCCTCTGGACAGGAAGTGCTACTGGAGGAACATGCTGGAGGCTGTGCACACCATCCACAGACACGGTGAGGGGCTCTCTGAACCATCACTGTTACTCCTGATTTGAACAAAGCATTCGGGGTTGTTCACACGCCATGCGTTCTTGCGTTTAAAAAAAGCACACAGCACTAAGGAACAGAAAAGAGCACAGGATCTCGAAAAGATGAACTTCTTTAACTTGACATTCTAAACATCTAAACACGAATGGTCAAAGACGTCTGTCAAGTTCTCACCGCAAGAAATGATTTTCTCTTTCGATGCTTTTGTCTTGTTTTCCAGTACAAATATCTAAACATTCTTCCCGTTTAAAATGTATCAAAAGTGAGTTTATGCTTAAAACCAAGTTTTTTTTTTCTCTTGTTTTAAGAGTGGCTTAATTTTGATATTTGACTTCTGTTCAGTGAACTTAATATCTCAAGTCATTTTGCATCTCAAATAATCTTGATTTTAAGAATATTTGTACTGGAAAACAAGACAAAAATACAGAGTAAGAAAATCATTTTTTTGCAGCGTTACTTACTGCTACACAGCAACAAAAACTAAATTCTTACATAAATATTTTTGTCTTGTTTACCAGTCACAATGTCTAAACATTCTTAAATCATACATTAATATTATTATATTAAGAGATACATTAATTTAAGAAGCAAACTAGCTTAAGGTATTAAGCCTTGTTTTCTGAAACATGTATCAAAATTGAGTTTTAACAAGAATAAAATGTCTGCCAGTGGGGTAAGAAAAATAATCTTGTTTTCCCTTTGAGTTACATTTATTTTTCTTACCCCATTTACTTGTTTAAAGCGTAAACTTACTTAATTTAGATTTTTCTTTAACCCCAGAAAACCAGACTTGATATCGTACGCCATTGTCTTACTCCAATGAATGTTTAGATATTTGTAATGGGGAAAACAAGGCAAAAATACTAAGTAAGAATGTTTTTTTTTGTAGTGTATAACACTAGGGCCTACCTGCAAGTCTCTATTTTATATAACACCCAACTTTAAAGAAGAAAAAAATATATTGTCAGTGTGGTAAGAAAAAAAAAGTTAATTTTTCTTACTCCACTGACCAACATTTTTTCTTGTTTTAAGCATAAACTCACTTAATTTTGATATTTGATATGCTTCTCAACTCCACTAAGAATTTTCAGAAATCTTTACTACTAAATAATTGAATACAAAAATATTAAGTAACTAAGCAAAAATACTAAACGCTGTTGAAAATGTAATCCAGTTTCTTTCTGCACGTCTCTGTTTAATTGACGAATTTCGTTGCGTTTTTCATTTGAAGGCATCATCCACAGTGATTTAAAGCCAGCTAATTTTGTGATTGTGGATGCTTCGCTGAAACTGATCGATTTTGGGATCGCTAACCGTATTCAGCCTGACGTGACCAGCATCATGAAGGACTCGCAGGTTCGACCAGAACTGATTTAGTATTACACAAGTTATATTTCGAGCCTGTTCTGTGTTGATTTACTCGTTCTTATGACGTCCGTCAGGTGGGGACTCTGAACTACATGCCACCAGAGGCCATCAAAGACACGTCCTCAAATGGGAAGCCAGGGTCAAAGGTGAGAAGACTTCATATTTTAGTAACGGATCTCATGTTAATATATTCCTTTCAGGGAGCATGTATGACGTTAGATTACACCGTGTGATCCCAGATCAGTGCTAAAGGCGACGTGTGGTCTCTGGGATGTATCCTGTACTGCATGACTTATGGAAAGACTCCGTTCCAGAACATCACCAATCAGATCAGCAAAATCCATGCCATTATAGACCCGACCCACGAGATCGACTTCCCCGATATCCCAGAGAAGGACCTGCTCGATGTGCTGAAGGTGCGCAGGACGTGTGGCTGTGCTGATCAGTCGTTTAATGACCCCGAGTTAGTGCTCACCATCTGTCTCGCTGTTGTCCGTTTCAGAGGTGTTTAGTTCGCAATCCTAGAGAGAGGATTTCCATAGCAGAGCTCCTCGATCATCCGTACCTGCAGCTGCAACCTGCACCGGAGCCAGGTACAAACTACAGCCTCCTTTCATTGAAAGCAATCACAAATCTAAAGGTGTATGAAATCAGAGCAGAAAATCTGAAATTAATCATGACGTTAAATGAGTATCTTCCTCAGTATTTTTGTTTTGCAAATATCTTAACATCCTCAAATCAAGATGCAATTTTTTTCTGAGAAATTGAACAATTAAGTGATTTTATGCTTAAAACAAGAACAAATATCTGTCGTTGGGAATGAAAATGTATTTTCCCTTTGAATGAAGTTGATTTTTTTGAGCCCATTGGCAGATATTTCATCTTGTTTTAATCATAAACTCACTTCATTTTTAAAAACAATTTCACATAAAACAAGACTTTTTATCTTATGTCTCAAGTAAATGTCTCTTTAGGCATTTGCACTGGAAAGCAAGACACAGACACTTTCTTGCGGTGTAATCAGTATGTTCAGTAAAAGCTATTTCTAGATCCTAGCGGTTGTGAGCTGAGGTATTCAAGCCAAACGCTTTTGTTTATTTATTTAAAATATTAAAAAGTAATGGAGATCTGTTAGAAGCTGTATTTAAGTTTCAAGCCTTGCTAATACAAGACATTGTGCTCCCTAGACATTTAAGAGAGTGTATTGATGTATTACGTTCCCTTCAGTTTATTCCTTACATTTTCTTTACATGGCCTTAAAGTCTTAAATGTTCCTCCATAAAACCTGCAGATGTAATATAATTACATATTATATAATAACAGGACGTTTTATTTTGACACTATATTAATAATTTTAAATGCATTTCTTAAGAATGCTATTAATTTCTTAATATTTAAAACTTTTGACAGTGTTAAATATTACTTACTTTTCTTTTTCTTTTTTTTTAAAGGAATGTTATATATTTAACCTTTTACTACATTTCTTGTATCTGATTACTCAATATGCATAAAGCAGATTCTGGCTGTTTTAATATGGTGATGATTGTTATATCACCGTCACTTCCAGCAGAAGCGTGTGCCGGTGATTTAAAGAAGATCCTCAATGAACTGGCGGCTCTTCAGTCTCCCAACAGCATCGCCAGAGCTGCTAGTGTAAGTGATGATCAGTCCATCATTCGTCCCGAAACACCGTCATACAGCACTGTGTGTACGATACCGCTGGACCATTTATAAACTAGAAGAAATTATAAAATCAAAACAATCAAAATAAAACGCTTACTAAGGAAGCATAGCGGATTACTTGCAAAACAAATGCTATAAATATCAGTCGTCTCTCTATATCTCCAATAATGTGTGTTAGTAAGATGAGATTGAAATGATCCAAACATATAATGCAATGCAATCCAGTGATGATTGAGAGATGAAGAAATAAACGCTCCTCAAAAGATCCTGAGGATCAGATTTGAGACTCTAAAACATGATTGATGGAGAATCAAGTAAAGCTGAGCTGCTTCAGTCCAGTAAGAGTTCATCTGGAGATATTACTGCAGTTATTCTGACCTTTACTTGATAAAAATCAGTAAAGATCTGACAGCAGAAAGACACGTGAAGCTCCAGCTGAAGCTGGACGTTTCTACAATTACACTAAAAGAGCTTTTACTTGATCAAAAAACTCTTAACCATCAGTCAGACGACAGAAAGCATGGAGTAGATTGTGTGCGACAGGTTTAACAGCAAATGTTTGATCATTTAGATTCTTTAGGAGCTTGCATATCAAATATAATGCAGTAGGCTTGAAATGTTCTTTTCAACCATCTTTCTCTGTCACTGCTGCAGAACCTGGCCAAGATGTGCAACAGCGGGAGGAAGTTAGATGTTTCTGAATGTGTGAAAACGTCCAGTCAGACGCTGTGGAAATGACGATGAAGCCTGCAGGACTCCAAACCACTCTTCCTGAACGCTCAGGAGCCGCCGAGACAAATGTCTCGCACCTTAAACAAGCTGTCAGTCAAAACCGCGTTCACTAGCTGCTATAGCGCTTCACACTTCCCTCGAGACGTGTTAAACACATTCATGTTTGTCCGTTTCTTCCTAACCGTTTCTGATTTGATTTGACTACATGATGTGAGCTAAGAAAGTGTACATGACAAATAAACACACCTTGTCAGGTATATTCCAAATGTAGTATTCTTTTGTTACATATAATGCTGTTTTCTTGGAAGTAACTGTACTCTAGGATGTTTGATCATTTAGATTCTTTAGGAGCTTGCATATCAAATATAATGCAGTAGGCTTGAAATGTTCTTTTCAACCATCTTTCTCTGTCACTGCTGCAGAACCTGGCCAAGATGTGCAACAGCGGGAGGAAGTTAGATGTTTCTGAATGTGTGAAAACGTCCAGTCAGACGCTGTGGAAATGACGAGGATGGAGACGATGAAGCCTGCAGGACTCCAAACCACTCTTCCTGAACGCTCAGGAGCCGCCGAGACAAATGTCTCGCACCTTAAACAAGCTGTCAGTCAAAACCGCGTTCACTAGCTGCTATAGCACTTCACACTTCCCTCGAGACGTGTTAAACACATTCATGTTTGTCGTCCGTTTCTGATTTGATTTGACTACATGATGTGAGCTAAGAAAGTGTACATGACAAATAAACACACCTTGTCAGGTATATTCCAAATGTAGTATTCTTTTGTTACATATAATGCTGTTTTCTTGGAAGTAACTGTACTCTAGGTGTGCAAAATGACATGTTTTCACGGCCATCTCATTATTCCGTGTTCATTGTCTTGATACCATTTCGTCAGAATGCATGGTTACTTTTCTGTGTTCGTCAATGGATTAAAATACTTTGTACATTTTGCATTTATAGAATATTCTTGAAGGCTCCCGCTTGAATATTCCACCGAAACAAATCCCACCGAAAATGATCTCCCTTCCCGTGTGATGTCAAGGAATTGACTTTGGTTTAAGATACTACAAAAAGAAAAAGAAAAAAAATTGTGGGCACCAAAACCATAACTGAAAAATATTCTCTCCCAAAAATGTGCTGTTTGAAACATTTTAGTTCGTGATTTTATGATTTAAGAAAACTAACGAATATGTTTGCATGTGTAATAATATTTATTTTATTTATTTAGCCATTTATCAGACGCTTTTATCCAAAGCGACTTACAAATGAGGACAACAGAAGCAATCAATCGTAGTATTAAAACCACTAAAAACATAATATATTAGCACATATGCATTAGCTTACCCAAAAAATTATAATTCTCTCATCATTTACCCTCCACTTGTTCCAAACCTGTACGAGTTAGTTTCTTCTGTTGAACACACAAGAAGATACTTCGAAGAATGTTGACTGACTTCCATAGTAGGGAAAAAATACAGTGGAAGTCAATGGCTGCCGTCAGCTGTCTGGTTACCAACATTCCTCAAAATATCTTCTTGTGTGTTCAACAGAAGACAGAAACTCCTGCAGGTTTGGAACAAGTGGAGGGTGGGTACATTTAATATTTATCAGACGCTTTTATCCAAAGCGACTTACAAATGAGGACAACAGAAGCAATCAATCGTAGTATTAAAACCACTAAAAACATAATATATTAGCACATATGCATTAGCTTACCCAAAAAATTATAATTCTCTCATCATTTACCCTCCACTTGTTCCAAACCTGTACGAGTTAGTTTCTTCTGTTGAACACACAAGAAGATACTTCGAAGAATGTTGACTGACTTCCAAAGTAGGGAAAAAATACAGTGGAAGTCAATGGCTGCCGTCAGCTGTCTGGTTACCAACATTCCTCAAAATATCTTCTTGTGTGTTCAACAGAAGACAGAAACTCCTGCAGGTTTGGAACAAGTGGAGGGTGGGTACATTTAATTTTAATTTTTTTTTAAGATTTAATTTTTAGGCGAACTATCCCTTTAAGGGGTTAAAGAGAATGGCAACAAATAAACGTGATTTTTAAAATAAAGCCAAATGTGCTGGATTTACCCGTCAAGTAATTTCGTGAATTGTGATATTCCAAGCTCAAATTATGTTTAATAAACTGATACGATAAACCAGATAAAACGATTAGAACATTATGGCTGTGTCTCAAAACCTAGTGAGCGTCCTGTCTAGACAGCGTTTTCTTCACTGCGCTCTAGGTTGAAACACGGCCCGATTGTGACGTACGCTGTCAATCAAAACTCCTCCCACGCGTCCAGCCAATCAGAGCGGCGCTTGTCCATGTGAGCGCTGACGTCAGCGCGCTCTTCCTGCTAGGCTTCCAGCGCAATGGCGGCGACGCGGCTGTTTCTGAGCGCTTCACCCGTGAAGTCTTCGCTAACCGGGTTAACCGGCGGCACGCGCAGCAGTCTGGGGTTAACTCTGCTTAAACGGTCCCCTGACCGCACAGCCGAGCCCAAAGCGCAGAGGAGACACGCAGCGCACTTCACCTATCACCCCGACCCTGCGCCTGCGCAGTACGGTAAATGCCCTTGTTTACACTTTACAGTGGAGCTGGAGTACTGAAAAGAAGGTCTCGTTATTAAATAATATTCATAATGCGTGAGCCTGGCTTTGCTGTGGTGTCAGTCTTGCTCTCAAATACACACTGACTGAGTTTTGCCACTATGCACAGATGAACAAATACAGTGCTTCAAAATTAATATCATAAAAGTCATTTCAAACAGTGACCACACTAGTACTGCCCTGGGTTAGTTTGCTGAAGTGGAATGAGCACATCATAGAGCCTGGATGGGGAAGAGTAACACACAAATAAATATACTATTTTATGAAAATACTAATTAGTTGTGCTAAAAGCCTACAACTGACATGTTTTGGCAGTTCCCCCTTTATTAAAACAGTTAAAACAATATCTTAAGTCATGCTTGTATATGAGTACGGTATCCATAATTGCACACATACATGCATAATCGCTGCATATCATTATAATAGAAATTATAGTATTTTGTTACACATTTTCCACATAACGTGTCAATGAGTAGAACATTGATGCATTGTAATGCTGCCGTTTTACTTTTTATTTTTAAATTATAGTTTCGTAAAGTAAGGTGCTAAGGTGTAAAATGTCAAAATCATGCCAATAATGCATAATCGGCATGCATGTTATGTGACCAAGATGACACAATCAGCGTCTCTGTGGTTGGTGATCTTCAGACCGTTTTGCTGAATGGTTATTTGTGTAGACCTGCCTTCTGCTGCCTAATGTCTGTGTTTCCTGAGGTTCACTTATAATGTTAGTAATATAGATCTTTTTCAGTGCATATAAACCGACACTACCTGTATTACCAATGCATCTGAAAACAAAACGCAAAACCACAAACCCTCCTCTGACGTGTACTAGCAGCTAAATAGAAGATCAGGTGTTTATAGCTGACTCTTACTGTACGATTGACTTGAGTGTCTCCGCAGGCCCCACACAGAAGATGAATTTGTTCCAGGCTGTGACCAGTGCCTTGGACAACACGCTCGCCGGCGATCCCACCGCAGGTACGAGAGCAGCTGACCTCTCATTTCAGTGTGTAGCTGAGGGTCTTGAGTGCGATATATTAACACCTCTGTCTCCTGCAGTGATTTTCGGTGAAGATGTGGCGTTTGGTGGGGTGTTCCGATGCACAGTCGGCCTCAGAGATAAATACGGTGAGTTTTCATGCTCCTGGGACACATGAGGTGAAGTGTGCTCACCTGTGTGTTGTGTGCGCTCGCACTAGATGGCAGCACAGTTCCTGCCTGAAGACTGAGTTTAGAATGAAATACCTGCTTCCTATTCACTGTGCGCTGCATGCTTCAAACAGAAGCCAAGTGTGAGTGGTGGCCGTTATCAGCTGGGAAATATAAAGGTTAAATGTTTCGAAATTTAATTTTGAAATTGGTTTTGTGTAACAATGTTCTATTTTTGTGAGAATGATCAAATGGTGAGTCAAAAAAGAGATAAAAAAATAGGGTTATTTATTAAATAAAACTACAACGCAAACCATAAACAACGTTTCCATTACCTGAAAAAAAAAAAAAATTCCAGCTATTGTAGTTCTCATTAAGTACTGAGATAATAAAAACTAAATCTGATTATAAACTGTATAGACACAATTTAAATAAACGAATAAAAACGGCATACAAAATGACTAAACCTTTAATTAAAATTAAAATGACAACAGAAAATATATATCAAACGCTATAATCGGTGATACTAAAATAACAGTGCCTGTGCTCACTTTGTTCGTCACACTGGAAATGTAAAGTTAGGTTGAGTGCAGTGCATTGTGGGATGCAGTAATTCATGCAGTGTGTCTGTTGTATTCTGCACATCTTGATGTATTAGTTGCTTGTATGATAATCTTAATAATTAAGAGGTAAAAGTTTAAAGCTGCATAAATCAGCATGAACTTAACCTTGAGGTCAGATCTTGTCCTGTATCTAAATAAAACAAATAACACTAAACTTGTATATTTTCTTGTACAATTTGTATATTATTAATTTCTTAAGCAAACATCCAAGAATGAATGATTTGCTGGAAAAAGCATGTGACTCTTTGGCTTTATTATATGGTAAAAACTTGAGTTCTTAAGCACAAATAGCTGTAGATCAGTCCAGAACATTGGCTTTGTTTGAGCCAGTCTTCGTTATTTCTTTTGTAACCAGCTTGTTTTCTAATCTGGTGTGATATGCACATGACATTTTGATAATTTGCATTTTCCTCTGAATATTCATGCACAAATTGCTCTGTTAAAGCTCCTCTAAACCAAATTTAATATGTGCTTCCAGTAGAACATCATAATGTTTGTGCATTTGCGCTCTTTGCCATTCATTTTGTTGCACTTCATCAATTATGCAAGAGTAAATGAAGTAGATTCAGACTGAACAGAACACCCTCTGCAGTTTTCACAAGCCATAAATAGTTAAATTATGCGGCCGCAGAGAGTCAGGAAAGAGGAGGAAAACAGACATTATTGTAATGATTAAAAAAAAAAGACATCTGCTGGTTGCCGCTCGTTTTGGAAAGAAGCGCTATATATAGAGAGACACTCTGTGATGTTTGGAAATAAACACAGATCCGCGACTCCAATATGACTCCCGCCGCGTGGGTGCCTTTTGTTTGCTATTGACGTCAGAGGTGTTGACCTTTGAGAGGGATCATTATTTTCCATGCCGTCTCGTTAGACGGGAACGGGGTTTTCGTGGCACTGATTTGAGAGAGTCTCTG